ACGATTCTGTCTACGAGCAAAAAGGACATTGTCGAATTCAGCACTATTAGCGGGATCCTAGGCTATCAGGAATTCTTTGAGAAGCACTTTGGTCACTACGGGCTACTTAGGGTGAGTTAAGGGCTGATAGCGAGATTTCCAAAGTATAATCCAATTGTTGCTTAATATCTACTGGTACATTCGGGACCTACTCAAACGGAGTATAAGTAATGTAGTCGATTTATCATAGTAAATACAAATTTGCTTCATCCACATTCTACTAGAAGAAATGCGATATGGGAAATATGAATAAGAACTGGGTGATTTACTGTTACGTGAGTTTTCACTTTGAAGCAAATTTTAGCTGGAAGGAGATAGTAAATTGGTCTAACCGAAAACTGGAGGAAGATTATACCCCTTTTTATGCATTAACCTTCCCCGTCTTCAGGAATTCAGGTTAGGCAGGAACTCACTAACAAAATCATGGGATGCCTCATTAGGATTAAAAAGTAAGATATATGAAATGGATGTGGTTTCCCTGTGCCATCCTCATTTTAGGTTTCACTTTATTTGGTGAGTTTTTTCGTGAAATATGCTTTCTCGCTCTAAAGAAAGCTCAGCACGGGTTCATCACGATTCCCGAAAGATGAAACGAAGACTTATTTGCACAATCCAACAGCCATCATTCCTCTAAGACCACCTTCGTTTAGTTTACAACGAGACAAATTCACAAACTCCTTATACCAATATTTTATCCTAAATGAAAGGTCATGTCATAATGATATGGGAAATGCCTTGTTCGTCTTGAAATTCACGCCTGTCTCGTGAGTGTTTGTCATTTGGGGCAGTGTGTCGTAGTGAGAAAATTCCGAAATGATGCACACCACTACCCGGATTCGGGTTTCGATGGGGATGCCAATGAGACCAAGGCGATGCCAAGAATATTTTTTGATAAAAGATTCTGAGTGATACATACTAACATGATGAGGCCTTCTCCTATCATTGCGGAGAGAGTTAAACTATCAACGATAAGTTTTACTGTTCAATAGCCACTAATAGGTTCGAAGCATAATAATGTAGAAAATAAGTAGTTCCATCAAGTGGAATGGCGAACACATGTCTGACTCATCTAGAAATCAACCATAAATGTGATGTAGGATAGGCTTATTACATGAATTTCCATCTTAAAGGAAGAGTTGGTTGGACGGAATTTGTGATGTAGTGGGATAGGAGGAGCAGGAGCAAGAGAAAATGTGATTGGTTGACTGGCACCAGTTAGTCCTTTTGGGCTGAGAAAGTTTTGACAAAAGGTAGGCTCACATAATTTTCCACTTAAAAGGAAGGATTACCAAAGCACATAAAGGAATGGGTTATTAGGCTCCTCTTGTCATTCACTTTTCAACGAGCGTGTAAACCATGTCCTCGTTGATTCCACTGTCATACAGTCGGCTTGACAACTTGATGAACTACCTCAAAGGATGCAGCATTGACTGTCATACAAATGGAGGCAGTGATCTTGGCTGAATCTCATAAAAATCTTAACACCTGTTCATTCTTGTCTGTTACCAAACAGTTAAAATGGACTAACCCGGGGCTGCAGCACAGCTAATCTCCCCAGGTGCTGTAGGCCGATTATAAAAAGTCACACTACTAGAAGGTCTCGACTCCTCTATACACGGCCAGTCAGCCTGAACAAGGGGCAGCAGATTGACCGAGTTTTTTCCGCTTTCCCCAGCATAGCACTCTTCAGCTTGACATGGGTCAGCCGATACTTGAGATTATAAGTCATCAAATGCCCTCCATCCGCTGGCCCAGTTGATGCTGTCCGCATTTATTTGGCGCTTTCCTCAGTCGCATGATTTCACTTCGGCCATCTCAGGCCTGATTAAACCTCGGGCCAAGTTTTTATCCATTTTACTGGGCAACACAGTCGCTAGTCAATATGACTGAATGGTGATGGAGCAGTACTTCGGGCAAAACTGATTCTCAAAAAGTCCCCCATTACATTTGCCAAAAGTTTCGTCGCCCCGCCTCCGCCTACTCTACATGACGTATTTTTCGTTTATAAGTAGCTTTTAGAGACTACCAGCAGATCAGATACATTAGGTGTATTCACCCCATTTCATGTAAAGCGATACAAGTCCGGCAGTCTAATTTTCTCACAAGCATAAAAGTAGCTTTGCTTCCAAAAAATATTATCGTCCTGGGTGGGTTGCATTTTTATTCTCGCGTAGATATCATCAGCCTCCCCAGCCGGACTCGAATCCGGTTTGTGGTAGTGCAGTGTATAGTACCATGCGAGTACTCTCGAGTCACAGGTCACATGTGCATTTAAATTTCAGTAAGGTCCAGGCAAAGTTGTATTTGCTATAGCATCCGATTTCATTACTTATTCTTCGATTATTTAGTACTTTTGCGAACGTCCATCTACTGGTTGTCTTGAAAGCATACTTATAAACTAAACATAAGTAATATGATGGATTGCTATAGCAAATAAAACTTTGCTTTATTGATAAACCCAAGACAAGATGTGATATTGGAAAAGGTCTAGACTTCGGTGAAATTCACTCCTGCCCTGTGACCCAAGGTTGCTCGTGGCAGTGTGGTATCACTGGGGGTGCTGATGAAAGCATTTGAGGCAAGGTCGAAACTAAAGTCCACTCCTTCCTGGATGAGAATACCTTTTGGGAAGCAAGACCATTTGAAATCCAATGATAATGTAAGGTCTACTCATATTATTGTGGAAAAATTCAATTACCAGTCTTTCATGACTTTAAACAAAATATGGTGAATACGTCCTCATTCCGTAGTCAGTTCTGCATGGGCGACCTCGGAGATCCGGGTCGGTCCCTAATTTCTAGACTCAATTAACCAATCCCATCGTCGCACAAAGTGATGATGCCCACCCTTTCCAGCGATCTGGCATATTTGTTGGATTCGCCTTGACGACAACTATGCAAGTTAGGCGCCACATAGCATGTATTGGTCTAACCTAATTTTAGAAACTTGGGCGTTTCTTCAGGACGGTGTATTTGCTACATACCTATTCGTTTTGCCTGTATCGCAGTCGGCATCGTAAGTAGGCCTTGCCAATTTTAATACCAAGCTACATGTCGGCAAAGAGACGTCGCACAAATTGTGGATGCCCACATACTATAGCATTTTTGCTGGTGCCGCCAGATCGACACTTTGACATTATTATCATAGGATGTGGAACGCAAAGGTGTAAACAATGTTTTGCTATGAAATGCCCACTGGGAGTGGAAATCATTTGAGTTCTAAACTCTCATGCACTTCGCTTAAGTGTACTTAAAGGTAGATCCAGGCGGGATTCAAACTTATGATGAATGTGTTGAAGGATGAGCACTCAAACTTTTTAGTTGAATGGTCAATGTTGGAGGACTCACGGCCTCGATGTTAGAGGCATCTCGAAGCTGCAAGTAAAATGAAGCATAAAATAAACAGTAATTAACTGAAATAGTTATTGGGAAGACTTTCGTTTCGTATGAAATTGCATGAAGAAGCGATTCGGAGGTTGATTGCACCAGAAGATGACGACTGATGTACGCTGTACCACAGACGTTTGGCTGACATAGTCTACGAAACATTATCCCTTATTTTGATTGTAAACGCGTTGAGTTTTTGTCCATCACATGACGGACAGAATCAGAGCTGGGACTCATTCGAGTAAATGTATAACAGCTGTGTTCAACCTACTTCGTTTAAGGAGATGAAGGATAAATAGAAGAATTTTTCCAAAATTATATGAGTAGCCATGACGTTTCCATTGAATTTCACTCAGCCCTTCTTTCCCAAAAGTTATTCTCATCACTTTTGGGGTGAAATCCAATAAAAACGTCATGTGAAAAAATTCAACCTGAATTGCAATAGGCTGAAAACAGCTCGTATATTTGATTTACTGATATTCTCGGAAAAGTGCCTAAAGCGAAATATGAGTAAAAGTAGCATGACCAACCCGAAAGATAATTAGTCAAACAATTCTATATTTATTTTAATTTTTCAGCTACGAGTATATATATATATATAAGAGGTAAGATAGAGTCGGACAAACTTCTTGACCAAGCGTTGGCATGAGACTTTTACAATGATGAGTCAAGCTCTGATGATGTCCATCATATGATCGAAGAAATCTCAGCCAGTTTTCACCCGAAACGAGGGAGGATTTCTCGTGGACTGTGTCAACCAGAATGTTGTATTACAGCCAAACGACGACGGTGAGATAGACCTTCAAATCTCTTATTTATGCACTAGCCGAAGAAATGAAATTCTCCCCAACAATATTCATCGAAACTCAGTTATTCTTCGTACATACAACGAATTATGTAAGTTTAAGCACTAAGGTAGCTGTAGAATCTTCGAACTTCGTACACAATTACTTCGACGTCGAGGTGTACCAATTTCGACATGCCACTTGCTGAATGGAAAACAAGATTCTTCTCGACAACTCGGAGTGAAGGCATGGTTTTCGTATGGCGTCCCACTTTGCTGTGCAACCCAAAAAGTCACTATCATCGAGGGTGGACTCCAGTTTTGTCATGTCAACAGGTACAAAGGGATCCAAATGCTGAAGGTCTTGTACAGCAAGCCTTCCTTCTTAGACAGAAGATTCCTCGTGAGTCATTCGAGAGGCCGGCTTTGAGTAGAAGATCATACATGTCTTGTGGCAGAGTGTGACTACCTTTTGAGCCATACATTGACGGCTCGATCTGGCGATGAGCCTTTGGTACGTTAAGCGCAGTCAAGTTCGGTGCAACTATCACAGGTTAGCGTCACTTCATCGCGGAGGGACTCTTCGAACCGACTGCATCCTCGCCGGACTCGGAGCAAGGCCCAGACAGAACTGGATTCAAGCCGCTTGCCATTTTGGCGTAGCACATTCAAGGACGTCACTGGTTTGGAAAAGTCCAATGAGCCTTCGGAAGCGTGAAGCGTGGCTTGTCTGTCGCCTGAATTCACCCTGTTTCAGCTGGCCCCCCAGCACCGTCATACTCGCTAAGGTGACACTGGGCTCTTGGTGTGTAGAGTATGCGCCAGATCGCCTCTTCACTGAGCTCAGCTGTTCTCGCCACTTCGGCCCCGCGACAGGATCTACCAGGTCCTCTTGTCCAGACTAAGCATAGGCCTGGACTAGATAAACCAGTAAATGTGTAAACAGTCGTGAGGCGGTTTTTCAAGATCCCCTTCCGTCCTCAGACCAACCATCGGCTAATGAGGCAGATCAGCGCTCCTCTCCACCCCTCGTCCCGCACAGTCTGCCCTCACAGGCCGGTCTGTACCACGGACGACCGGATCCTTTGTTTGCCCAGTCAGCGAAATCGGACCGTCAGAAGTCGGCCGGCTCGTGCCCCCCTTCCACTGCACCATCACCCCCTCGCCCCTTCGGCCGGTCTCATCTGCTCTTGGCCTCACGGTTGTCCAGCGGGGGCTCCGCCGGACTCGAATGTGTGGCTGCGGCAGTTGGGACGGGGTGCCACGCGAACCCTGGCAGCATGACTGATCTCGCCAGTCATGACAGTACCGGCTGCCGGTACCGGTTTGTGTCAGTTGGCGATGCCACTTGGTCTACAGGTTCGGTGTTATCGCGTGCACTTTGACCCCATCATACCGGACAACGGTGACACGCAAAAAGCCCGTACTTGTCGGACTGGCTCATGAGCTGAGGGAATGCGGCAGGCAGATGCCAGAAATGCCAGGCTGTACCAGAGAGACTGGGGCTCATTGGGGCTCGGGGAGAAATACAATTCACCAAACTTTTCAAGACCAATTATTCCCTCCATACGAAGACTCGAGTGTAAACTTCCAAGTTGGGAGAAATTATTTTGCTGAACTAACATCAAGCTAATTGAAGATGTGAAGACCAAGATGTTGTGGCCTCGGGTATGGTCGCAGTCTCCTTTCGACTTATAGAAGTGGGTGAATGGCAAGTCTCACTGATGATGCCGACTACGATGCCGGCGAAACGTCTGAGAATGTATCAAGTC